ACGTATTTTGGATTTGCACCATTGCTTTCTTGTCCGGTTCTCTTTGATATTTCAGTGAATAACTGAGAACTGCCTTCTAGGATCTCGAAGTTTTGGAACATAGTGTGACTTTAATTTTTCTGTTTCTGAAAATAGTGATTCTTTTTGCACCTCTTCAGTCTTTGTTGGTTGTGAAAACGTGGCATTTGATGGTTTGTAGAATTTCGCATTTGCATAATTCACAATTCACCTATTCACCTCTGAATGGATCAGTGTCTACTGAAACCTTCTTGACTTCGCCATTCAATAAAAACTCGAAGCACTGATGGAGTGGAAGGAACACGCCATATGTATGAAGCCACGGGCTCCCCAATAGAACCTTGTAGGACTTGTATGCATCAATCATGTGGAAAAGAGCGTTTGACTACAGCTCCCCTATCTCCATTTGTATGATATAGTTCCTATTGTTTTTTGCTCCACTTGATTGAAGCCTTGGATGGTTAGCATTGATGGTGATAGTTGATGGACATTCATCCCCATTGTACGAAGTGTTTGTAGAGGCAAAAGGTTTACTGCTATTCCACAATCAAGCAAAATCCGATTGATTGACGTACTTCTAACCAGTCCACTAACGTACAGGGGTCGATTGTGGTATTCATCCCCAAGCATAAGGTCACCCTCATCGAATATAATACTTGCAAGGTAGCAAGCACAATATTTTGGTAATGTTGTAGCCTTCTCTGCTAATTCAAAGCTTGTTTTGAATACTTCAAGACTTTTTAGAGCCATAATGAGTGCTTCCCTAAGCTCTTTTGACATTTGCAAGGCATCATACACACTAAGGAGAGCTGAAATACGTTTAAGATGACCCACAATGTCCATTTGCCATTTTGGGATTGCGGTACGTCTCTTGCGTGTTTCTTTGCTATTGTAGTCGAGATTGGTACTTCTACTGCGGGCTCTATTGTATTAGTGATTGGAACCTGTTTTCCACTTGTTTTATCAGAGTGGTTAACCGAATTAACTACTTCATTATTCTTTTTCTTGTTAGCCGATTGGATCCACTTACCTGAACGAAGAGTTATTTCAACTACCTCATTATCGTCGTAAATTTCACACGACGTCACGCAAAGTTAGCAAGTTCTTCTTCTCCTTCCTTCGCCATATTTTTTAAAATGTTTGGATGCAGGTAGTCGACAAGGGTTATTGGCACTCTAAAAAGATTTTTGTACTCATCTTCTTGGGAGACGTTAGGCTTCTTCTTGGTTCTCTTCTTCTTCCTTCCATTCTTCGGGGTTAGTCCACTCTAGGATTTGTCATTTTTTCTTTATTCCTTTCTTTCCTGCAGGTGAGCATCATACGCCTCCAAACCCTTACTTCACTCTCTCTTCCAAAAAGAAAGTCATCTCAAAGTCCTCGGTTATCTTCTGGGGGGCTTTGGTTCAAAGTTGGGAATTTTTTTACTGGGACCACTTTGGAGCAGCTGCAGTAACTTCCACCAACAAGTGACTTCGACAGAGGTCTCGCACATGAATCATCTATGAAATCCTCTTTATTGGAACCATTTGAGAGGCAGGCTCGAATATGGTGATCTGGGAATGCATTCGGCTTCTTGATGTGGTGGTCGTCAACCTTATTCTTTTTTATTTTTTTTATTTTTTAAGCTGATCTCACGATCAGTGCTTCAATGTTTGATAGTTTTTCAGGCATGGTTTGATCAGCGGAAGATGGAGTTCCAACAAACGACTTGAATAAAAAAAACATTTCTGTATATAATAGAGACCGCCACTTCTTCTTGGCCTCAGTTTTGATCGTGCTCTCTCTCCCAAACTTCTAATTTACACGAATCTCACAAGCATTGATCCTCCAAATCGCAATAGCCCCTAAACCGTCCATGGCCGACAAGAAAATCGCCTACGATTCCAAGCTTTGCTCCCTCCTCGACGAGTATGGTTAGGTCCTCATCGTCACCGCTGGGGTCGTCGCCTCCAAGCAGCTCTAGTGTTGGATTTGGCATTAAATCAACTTAAGCCTAAACAAAAACAAGAATCAGGAAAGGTTTCTATATTCTAGGGCATTTTGTATAAAACCCCGTCATCTATTAGTATAAATGGATGGCTTTGGGAGAGGTTTTATATGAGAGTTTGAGAGGTAGAAGTTTGTATAGGTGAGAGCACTTTGAGTTTGTGAGTTCTCTTGCATTCATTGGAATTCAAAAAAACTTCCATTGTTAGAGAGGTACTCCTGTATTGGAGGAACCCTAATTCGTATGTAGTGTATTTGTTTATTGCTTGATTGTTTGGTTTAGTTTACAACATCCAGAACATACGCAAGGGGTTGCGCGTTCTGATGGGAAAGAACACAATGATGAAGCGCTCCGTCAGGATCCATGCGGAAAGGACAAGCGACAGTGCCTACCTCAACCTCGCCCCCCTCCTTCCCCACCAAGATTAATAAGGCCCAGAGGTTCTTGATCTGACTGAGGATGACTCATGACCATCACTTCATTGGCTTTGGCCGTCTCATATCCCACCCTTCAAGAACGTGTTGGCAGTTTTTATTGCCACCGAGTACCTTCCCATAAGCAGAGAAGGTCAAGGAATATCTCTGAGGACCCAAGCAAGTTCGCTGTTGCTGCTGCTTCTTCAAGAGGTGCTCCAGCCGCTGCTAAGGAGAAAGAGAAGAAGCTCGAGCATGAAGAAGTGCCGCTGTATGATTGTACGTTGCCGCTGAAACCACATGTGGGGAAGGAGTCTCTGATGGACTTGGCTACTCGAGTGAGCGAGCAAGTTTACAGAAAGAAGGGAGTTATTACGGACATGAAGTCTTTCGGTGCCGTTCAGTTGGGTTATGGTACTAAGGAGCTTGACGGAATGTAATATCAGGGCCAACTAATGACCACGCCCACATAAAGAGTTGGAAAAAGAAAAGGAAGAAGCGTAGGAAAAATAAAAGCAATCTACGAAAACAGTCATCAACAAATCAAGATTAGAAAAAATAAAACGTAATGCAATCTCACCACTTTTCTCGAACTTCCAAATCCAAGAGAGAGCACTGCCAAATGATGCCTGCAACGAAACAATCAAGAAAAAATAAGTTGCAAATTCAAATCAAACCAAAGAAAACGAGAAACAAAGGCAGCCTTACTTGGCTTTGTTTCGAATTCTTTTCTCCCAGAAAAGCACGTTTGAAAGAGACGGAGAAGTTTATGAATTAGTCAGAAGAGGCTCCACGTTTGGAAGAGAAAAGAAGATAACTGAAATAATTAAAAAGAATTTGAAACCTATCAATTCCAACAGCTTTCAAAGACATGGTTAAGGGATGGTTTGGGAGTGAGGTGCTTAAAAAAAAAGCACCCATGAAAAAAAGCTGTGAGGGTTTTAGGTGTTTGGTAAACTGAAAAAAAAAGGCTTATTTTGGAAGCTGCTGTGAGAATAAGCTGAAATCAAAGGAAAAAGCTGAAGCTGCTATTTGCAGTTTTGGAAAACTGGCTTTTTTTCAAAGCACACGGAGCTACAGTGCACCTTTAATGAAAAGACCCACTATCAGACTGCTTTTTTTTCCAAAAGCACTTTTACAAAAAAGTTTACCAAACATTCTGCTGATTTATTTCACAGCCGCTTATTCTCACAGCACAGCCGCTTATTCTCACAACAGCTTTTTTTCAAAGCACAGCAATATCAAACCAGCCCTAAGAAGGACTCCTAGAGGAAATCCAAATAGTTGCATTACAAGATTTACCAACGATATTTCTTACTTTTAGCCGACGTGTGTAGGAAAAATCCTACAAAAGATATACCAAATTAAGATAAGATTTAGCACAATTCATCTCTCAACAAAAAGAGTGTGAGTATGCCAGACGGGATCAAATTTTCTGCACTCAAAACGAGTATGGCGTCTCTGTGATCCTAATTAATGGCTGACATGTATGTATAAACTTAATTTTTCTTAATTTTATTGTCATAAATTTAATATATATCAAACAACAATTGAAGTGAGGCTAATTGTTGATTCAGAAGATTTGATCTCATACCGCCTCCACAAAGAGAAAAGTGTCCGGTAAAGCAGGCAAAAGAAGCGCATGACTTTCTTTCAAATTCAAATTTCATGTTAACCATAAAGCATATAGTGATACCAGCATCAAGTTAAGCTCTGATCTTCTTGTGGACCAGGGCATGTTCAAGATTGTTAAGCACAAATACATCAATTGGTCGTCTTCTCTCGACGCCACAGGTGACTTCAAGTCCAAATCTCTCAAATGGTGCAAAACCACTAAATATCAAACCAAGACCAAATAAATTTCAAATTCGCAATGAACGTCAGTTCCGTCAAGTACCGTTTGGTACGTGGGATGGGATGGAACGTAGTAGGAAGAGGCATTCCGTTCCACGTTTGGTGCGCCTAAAACGGGTGGAACGCGTTGTTCCACGGGACAAATTTTGGGTGAATTTTTGTTCCGCCTCACCCCTTTGAACGACTCATTCCACATCCGTGGAACACAAAATTATAATCTCTCCGTCTCCTTCTTCCTCCTTGTTTCCATCCAAGGGCATCTTTGCTCCCTCTCCGTTCCGTCCCATCCCGTCCCATTCCGTTCCGTCCCATCTCGTATGCATATCAAACGATACTTTATGAAAACAAGGAGGAAGAATGAGACGGAGAGGTTATAATTTTGTGTTCCACAGATGTGGAACGAGTCGTTTCAAGGAGGTGAGGTGGAAAGAAAATTCATCCAAAACTCGTCTCGTGGAATAGCGCATTCCACCCATTTTAGACGCACCAAACATGGGATGCAACAACTCGTCCCACTTCGTTCTGTCCCGTCCCATGTACCAAACGGTACCTTAAGGATACGTAAGCAGTCTAATACCACATTCTAAACTTGACCACAAAACAAGAATACCAAATCAAATCCTTGGGTTTTATGAACCAAATTGACTCCAAACACTCATCCAATAAACCAAATACCTTTTTTTATTTTTTTTTGAGTGATCATTCACTCAAAATTTCAAATCCATTCCGAGAACTACAAGTAGTTTGATCCCTAAAAAATGGTACATAAGCAATGCAACCGCAAAGTCAAACAAACACCCAAATTCCCAAGTTACAATTCATATTAGAATAAAAGGGTTTCCTTTTTAACAAAGGATTGTGATTAATAGATGCATAGTTTAGAATGGGTCAAACTCAAATTAATAAAACCCTCCTCGAAAAATGAATGAGGGTGAAACTGTGTCGAGTAAATCAGTTGTTATACTTGTACAATTTTTGCTCAACAGAGAGTGTATCATTCATGGTATCTGTGGGAATTACCCAGTCTTAAGGGAGACGACAGTCTTCAACTTATCATCATGTCTGGACCAGATGAAGATGATGACAATATATCCAGCATAGAATTCTGGGGTTCCAGCTCCTCGTGCCAGAGCGGAAGGGCGTCTCCGGGATAATAGTTTCTTGTCACCCGTTCTGAATTTATCTGCAATCAAAGCATACAACACCAGAAAAGATGAGGAAAGATAGAAAAACAACTAAAATAATGAAAAACAACTAAAATAATGAAAAACAAACCGATACATACTCAGCAACTTCGGGAACAAAAAAACCAGAAGGTTCGAGTTCAATCCTCACAGAACTCAATTAACGTTACTGGAAGGTTTGAGTTCAACACAGAGGCACGAGTATGTGCTAAATAAGTAAATAGCTAGATGCAAGCATCACATACAACTTCATTTCAACTCACAAGAGAACCATGTCACTGCGGTAACAAGCCTTACACTAATGGCTTTGTATTTCCAGAAATCAGTATCTTGAACTAATAAGACAGGCTGGAGATAGAAATCAGAAGCCCGAAAGAAAACGGCTGCTGGTACATCAGTGTGGAACTAGGAGATTTCTATTCCCAATACCATCAAGTAATTGCAGACTAGAGTATAATAAAAGAAAAACTCACAATGACAGTTCGAACGACACCACCACTAGCACCATCTCGAGCAATAGCAAGGGAAACTGCTTTCACCACCAATTGCTGTAGTAAATTAATAGCAGTTGCTTTAAGTTAAAAAATTCAAGTATTATCTCATCAAGAAAGAAATTAATTTCTCTGGACAAGGTGGATGCAATCACAGAACTATACACCAGTACAGATGGACATTTTGGGGATCTGGAAATATAGCAGTTACAGATGAATATTTTGGAGATGCGGAAGTATAACCAAACTTTTGAATGGAAAAGGCAGAAAATAAAATATTGGGACCAAACTATTATTTTGGCACTCCAAAATTCTAATTGTGCACTCCTCATAAGAGCATTTTTCTTTCTAAATATAGAAATTTTGGAGTGCGAATGTCAGTTCCCTATTGGAATACATTCTTATCTTGATATCGATACTCATTAAGAACATAATATCATAAATATTTTAAACATTTCTAGATTTCATAATTATTCAAAGATAAGAACTATGTAAACTATCAATCATTTCTAGATGTCATAATTATTCAAAGACAAGAATTATGTAAACTTAAACCATTATTTTCAACAATAAGACTGAGATAACATTCAGCCAGAACCAAAAGGAATTTGAGCAAGTCTATGTAATATAACTTTGAGAAAGAATTACAGAGATTAAACAACAATAAGAAGAACAGTTCATATTGCATTTCTTAGTATTAACTATTAAGCAATCATCAAGTAATCCAACATTTAGCAATAGACACAAGCAATCACACGCATATAACCTGCAAAACATAAGCAAAATAAGATTCCAGGAAAAACGAAATGTGAGTGTTAAGTAGTTTAAGTCCTATAAATCCACTCAAAAGCCAACTTAACAAGTGATCCCTTCAATTACATTGTAAGTGTGTTCCTTCAAAGGTTCTGCTACTTCTATCAGGCCACAAACACCACAGACTACAGCATAGGCTCCACCTTCCAAACAAATTGTTAAATTTACAGAAAAACTTGCCATGCAACCCCAAAATCATCTGTCAACAGACCTTGGCATAACCCATATAACTACAAACTAAGAACACAAACTCATAGCGCTCAAGCTACTGGACAATGCATATGAAATGTGAACCACAGACTCTTCTATCATCTTGCGCTTACATCTTCAGCCACAAGGCACAAAATCATCCCATGTAACATCAAATAATAATTTATAGTCAAAATCTTCCCTTGAGCAGTGGCCACCCTAAAGAGCCATTCGCAAGCACACTGAGTCCAAATTTCCTTCCAAGAAAATAAACCTATGTTCCATCCAAAATACCAAAAGTAGCACTATTAAGGAAACCACTTACCACCACACAAGGACCATCCACCCCACCTTCCCCCTATTACCCTAACTAAAACACCATACAACAAATTAAACATAGTACACAATACTAATAAGCAATTTTGGATCTCATTATCTCTCATTGTCACAATGATGAAGGAATCAAACCTGGGCACATTACTAATAAGTAATATCAAGGAAGCCAGCATTGAAGCAGTACCAAAAGATGTCAGTAACATAAAGACTACATACCTCAGCTTCCTCTTTGGTCATTCCTTCCTTCCACTCTTGATCAAAGAAACCATACAGATAAGTGGAGCCGGATCCTGGATGACACAAGGATCTTGAGAACTTAAAGTCACTAGTTTATGGTAATTCAATAGCATTAAGTGGCAAAAAAATTGTTACATGTGCATTTACTCAACTATAAAATTCAAGTAGAGTTGAAAGTTAAATTAAAATTACACCTTAGGATGATACCTTGTCAGAAAGAATTGCTACGAACACTAAAATATAACCTTATTATGCTCAATGAGAAAGTAGCCTACGAACAAGAGTAACATAGAAATTAACCAACTCATAAGCAAATGCAGAAAACTTACATATGAAATAAAGGAGAAAAATTTTATTTCAGGGAAAACCATTCCAACCATGACAAGGAAACCAAGAAGAGTAAAATAGAAAACAAAATAGAAGATCTTTATGAAGAACATAGGAGAGTTATAAAAACACACCTCCAATAGCAAAAGGCTGCTCTAAAATTGTCCCTCCGAGTGGCACTCCATATATTTTACCTCCTTCATACTTGTCCCAACCACCAATAATCAAGCCAGTTTGTAGCATATTCTACCAAAAAGAATACATAAGGAATATGAAATATACTAGCAAATGACTACATAGGCAGAATCATGACTTAATGATGAAATCACTAACAATATCTTAAAGGAAAAAAGTTACAACTGATATCGTTAAAGTTTTATATTACAAAAACTTTAACAATATCAGTTGTAACTTGATGCATGGGTTGTGTAAAGAAAAATGAATACCAGAGACAAACCTTGTTATTGTATGAGAACAACCTGATCAGGTTTGCAGCAACCTTGACTGTTGCAGGCTGGCCCAGCTGTATCCTACACAAAAGAGAAACTTTTGACTGATAATTCCAATAGAAATTTAAAATTCCTACCGCGAGTTTCAAATGTTTACAACTTCAACCTCTAAATCATAACTTTGTAAAGTACTTACCAGGTTACATGATTTCTAACGTGTCTTATAGTTTTAAGCAAGAAAATGCAATGTCAAACAAAGAAAATGCATTCTGCAAACCCAAAAAACATATGATGCCACAAAATGAAGTCCAAGATGACGAAATATCTTGATCATCATAAGTTGGGTGCAACAAAATTCTTCCCAAAAGTACTTTAGCCTGCTTGGAATCATGTCTTTAAGATTTATTGCCAAAATTCAGCATGTCAACATTATACAGTTGAAAGCCACTGAAAACACTACGAAAATAAGAATAAAAAAACTGCACAATTCCAACTACAAAAGGGAAGACAAAAAACAGTTGTTAAAAACCAGAGGCTCTGTCACTTACGTGTGCTGATGAAGAAAGTGACGCACGTAATCAGACACAATTTGAGAATCAGCAGCCTGCGAACAGAATATTAGACAGATTAATGACAGAATAGAGCAACTACAAAGTCTGTTACCAGCCACCCAAAAAAAGGCCTTGTTACTTAGCTATCAAACAATGTTCCTGAGAGATTGAATGATTCAAAAACAAATCAAGCAGGAGTAAAGAGAGATAAAGAATGAAATAGGTAGAAGTGGTTAGGAAGCTGCGTCCACAAAGGATTCTGTGGATGATCTTAGGTCTAGATACGACTAGGAAACATAAGAGAATTCATGGGGTTGATTGCGCTTAGTTTCTTATGACAATCCATGTAACCAACCCCAAATACAGTTTAAGGGTGTGTGAAGTCAAGATATTCTTTTTACTATAACAAAGCCCAAAAGATCTAACCAGCCACCAACCAAGCCCTCAGTTCGCCTAAAAGCCTGAAAAACGTAAGCTTCTACTTCTACACAAGCAAGAGTTAAGAGATCTAAGCAGATGACATCAAGATGACTTTATCTTACTTAACCCTAAGAATTTTTGTTGTTAGGAAATTGTAAAAGCAAACTAGTTTTCGTTTACAGATAATTAAGATAGTTCAACTATTTTACTACCAAAAATGAACAAAGTACACTAATAATACAAGATAATATTTTAGCAAGAAAGAAAACAAAACTAACTAATTGATCAAATTTCTTCTTTCTCTTGCCTAAAGCCAACAGCTTGAACGGCGGAACGCGATTTAATCCTCCCACATGTATGCAAACAACAGAAATCGCAAGCATTTACAAAATAAATAAAATAAAAAATCTGTTTAGCAAACAGAAAAAGGGAAGCAGAGAGAGAGACCGATCCGGAGCGACACAAGTAGACATTGTCAGTGAGCTGAGTGATCTTATCGGATGCTCGGTTCGCAACATAAACACCTAATAATCATCAACAAAAATTAACCAAATTCCACCGAAAATCAAACACAAAATGGAAAATTAAATTAAATTAAAAAAAAAAACATCTCTCTAGGGGAATTCCAAAGTTATGTAAAATTCCGCAGAGCTCAATGGCAGAGAGAGAGAGAGAGAGAGAGAGAGAGAGAGAGAGAGAGGGACGATATTTTACCGGTGCTGGTTCGGGAATCGGCGCCGAGGACGACGCCGCCATTGTAGGTGACGCCGATAATGGTGGTGCCCATGGAGTGAGGGGCATTAAGGTCATTCTGTATGGACTGATCCATCCTTCAGGAAAATCGGAACGCCCAGTCGAGAACGGAAGAGAGTAATAAAATAGCTAGCAGAGAGGGAGAGCTCAAGAACAAGTAGTGGGAGAGACCAAATACTACTCCTGCTTTGCTTTCTTGCACAGGAGGAAAATGGGGAAAAAAACAAAAAATTAAATAAATAAAAGAAAAAAAAAGTACAAATTTGGGGGCATTCCGAGAATTGAACTCGGGACCTCTCGCACCCTAAGCGAGAATCATACCACTAGACCAAATGCCCTTCGCTGCTGCTCTCTAGAAACGTTATATATATACCTATATATGATACTAATATATAATTATAAAAATATATTCACACAACATGTGTTAACGCTCAAAACTTGCAGGAGAAACCCAAACGAAACCAGGGTGGACACTCACAGGTTCTAAACGAAACAATCAAACATACTGAACCCATGGTGGGCTTGGAATATGAACTGTAAAATATTGGGCTAAACATGAACACAAAGATATATAGTAGTTCACCCATAAATGAAGCTACATCCACTTTAGTCTGTCTATATATTTGTTGAGATTACATACAAAGTGGCTAAAACCCTCAGTTGGCCTAGTGAAGCAGCAAATGCCCCCATTTCACCCTAACTATGCCAACCCCCTCCCCCATTTGCCTTACTACCCTTAAATGGGCAAATAATCCCCTTTATAATGTGTGGTCTCAATGAGAAGGTGACGTGGCCTCCCCCTATCCACCCAATAAATAACTAGTCTATTAAATATCTTATCTTGGTCAACGTGCCTTCATTTAATGATAGTCTAGCTGGAAGGCTTCTCAGGAAACTATCATATGTAGAGTATTCTCCCGATGGTCATGTCGAGCGCTGCTTTGGTTTGTTATTCAATTATACAATGATGAAGTGATAGTTGTACATTCAGGTGTGCATCGCTCTCTAAATGATGGGAGCCATGCGACCTGCTCAGGCTCGGTTATCCAATTCTATCTGATCGCTTATCGTTTCCTTCACCTTTACATCCCGTCATAAACTTTGACATTGACTGGTGATTGTCACGTGTCTTGAGTTGACGGTTTGAGTTAGCTATATCCTTGAGCCTTGTGCTATAAAGTTGTCAGTCTGTCCACGAGCTCATGTTGGTCGGAAAGTACTTTATGCAACCTAATGGAGCCGAGCTAGTGGCGGTCGGCTATAGCACTCGACGAGATCCCTTTCTCTCTCCATGGGCTTTTGGGGTCTTCCTTCCTCTTTGGGCCCTGGTCTTCTCATTTCCTGGGCCTTAGCCGGGCCATCTCTTGGGCATGTATTGTTCATAGGGATCGAAAAAAGACTCCGCCTTCTCCAAGTCTCATCTCTCTCGAATATTATCCCTGTAAATCCTCATGAATGGGGTTTATCTTTGTAAGGAATCGCGAGCAAAAACCAAAGGTGAAAATGTCAAGTGAACACAGCAGATCTGAGGTCTGATTGACAAGTTGGGGATTTGGGTTTGAATAAGGGGAAAAAAAAAAGGAAAACCAATGAAAAGGGCTTGAAAACTTTGAGTTTTAATGATAAGGACAAAATAAAGGGTAAAGTGAATAGTAGCATGTTTGACTTTTTAGTGTAAAAATGTGGTTTTTCGTTAAAGTGAACAGTACCGTGGGCTTTTCATTAAAACTCCCTTAAAAAAAAGGGGAATTTGGGGATTAATTTTCAATAGAGGGTTTTAATATGAGGAAATTAGTAGGGTGGGTAGGGGATTAATTTGATTAGTTTTGTTTCAGGGTCTGCTTTGTTTCAAATCACAACTTCTCTCTCCTTTCGTGAAGCATTTGCTTTGTTTCCCCAACTGATTTTGATGATGTAATTGCCGAGTCTGATCATGTGGTAAGAATCACGAATACCTCCTACTAGATATCTTCAAAATGGAGAGGCAGCTACAGGGGGAAAATTCGGAATTGGAGAAGCTTATGGCCAAAGAGAGGGTGGCAGAGCATTCCTAGAGCGGTGAACGGGACAGTCTGATTAAGCAATTATGATGTGAGGAGAAAAGGGTCGACCAACTTTCAGTGCGGATGACCCAACTTGAGTCTACGTAGCTGCTGAAAGCCAAGGACAATGCTAAGTGGGTACTTGCACTTCACATTCGCTCCCCTTAAAATTCAAAATTCAGTTCACATTGCCTTAATCAATTAATTCCATTCAAAGGCCATTGGATATTTGGATATGTTGACGTGGATTAAAAAATGCATATGTAAAATAAATAAATAAATAAAAATGCAAGATTCAAAGCAGCATGAGTATGCAACTCAGGCTGCTTTGAACTTCTCCCTTTCACTCTTTCTCTAATGGCGCGTTTACGTAACCATAATGAAAATATGAGGAATTGAATTGAGGAAGAGTTAGAATGAGGAGAAGTCAAAATTCGTTTCCTATTGAAGCTGTTTACTTAAATGTTCTAGAATCGGAATAGAAATGACACTAATTTTATAAAGCTGTTTACTAAATCAACACAATCGGAATATAAACCAATATGATTACTAAAATGCCCTTTGTCCCAAATCAAATATTTTATATACTTTTTTTTTAATAAAATTTGATATAATATATAATAATAAGAAAAAATTAAATTGTTTTTTTATTTCATAGACACACTAAAATGCTTTTGTTTTTTTTTTTTTATAAATTTAAGTATTTACTTTAATATTTAAATTTTCTCGCTCAAATTGTAGTTTCTTCTCTTCGGCATATGCATGGAGTTGTGCATAATGTGAATGAGCATGAAGTTTTACATAATGTGAATGAGGGTATAAGATGAAGAAAAAATGCATTCCTGAATCCCTTACCATCCTGGAATTCAAATACCTCTCTATCTAGGGAATCTCACTCCTCCAATTTCAGGAATTGCATTCATTGTTTCAGGTGGGCTCCACTGCAATATTGATTCCCAAGTATTTAGTAAACACCGGAGTAATCCGTAATTGGAAATCAATTCCCTTTTTTTATTCTCATTACCCTTACGTAAACGCGCTCTAAGATTGATTTGCTATTCGTAGAATTGACAAATTCCATTATGTGGGTCTGATTTGGGTGCACCAGCCTAATCAATTTATTTTTTATTTTTTTAGATCTCCGCAACTCAAGCACAACAACCCAAAAATATTCTAATCGTTAATTTCTTCTTTAAACTTAATATTTTTTACTATTGAATGTTAACACATAGTGGTGATTTATAATCAAATTCATAGCAGAGATTTATAATCAAATTCATCTCCGCTACGTGTAAACATTCAACATTTCATAGTGGAGATTTATAAAATAATTATTTTTGAGTTTTGGGGCAAAGTGTGATCAAAATCAAGTTCCAAGGGCAAAGTATGATCAAATTCGAGTTCCAAGGAGCAAAGTGGGATCAAAATCGAGTTCTAGGAGGTGTAACTAAAAATAAGCCTATGGTATTACACTTTTACCCACCCACATCAACAACTTTAACGACTATTTGACAGAAGAAAAGAAAACATTGTAAAGTTGAACAAATTTTAAGTTTCAGAGATTAAAATGGTGACTTTTGAGTTACAGCGTGCAAAGTGAGATCAAAATCGAGTTCCGAGGGATGTAGCTAAAAGTAAGCCTTCCTATTTCAATAGTTCTCCATACTCGTCCGCCATTTTCATCATGAGAATGATGTAGGAGTTTGATTCCTATATAATTGATATCACACTCAATTTTATGGTGCATTATGGAAGGCCTAAAGCTCGTTTTGTTTGTGATAATTCAATTGAGTATAGGATCATATGATAAAAGAGATAGATGACATAAACTGTTACGATTCTAAAACCTCATGGTACAATGTCATAGAACTAAAACTTTGTAACCCATTTAAAAATAACCTGAAATGTGAAATGTGTGCTACTTAATACTACAATCTGATGATAATCCTCTTCACTCATACATGTCTTAAGTTCCAATCTCGTGAATGATGAGTTCGATACCAATTTTTACCCTTTAATGTCAATTTACTGATGTATAATAAAAATGTAGATGTAAAAAGTAATTAGCCTTGTAAAATCTTTGATTTATTGTTCATTTATTTATTTTGTCACGTTGAGCAATTCTCAAAACATTATACATATACAAAAACTCGGTTTGCTTGGCACTGTTTTTCACTGTTCGTGAACAGTGAAATGGCAGAAATGCCCTTTGTTTCTTCTTACTCCCACGTTTTGTCGTTTGCTTGGTACAACAAAATTCTAGTTTTTCCCATCTTAGCCACGCGTCACTCATCGTTTAACCCTCTATTTTTTGTTCCTTTTTCCCAATCTTTCTTTCAGCTTCTGGTTCTTTCTCTCAACCATGGCTCCATTTTAGGCCTCGAGTTCACAAAATCTGGAGAGCTTTCTTTCTCGACTACAAATGAAGGTGGCCGAGGACGAGAGCCCGTGGTTGACTGCCTCCAAAATACCCGACAAATCCGCTCTGAGTCAGCTAGCAGCCGAGAACGACTCAATACCGCCACCGTCACCAGCTCATCGGCTCCACGCATTCTTAGGTATTGTTCTTTTTACTTTTCTGGGTTTTTATTTTTAGAGGCTTTTTACCTTTTTTTCTAATGAGAATGCAGGTTTTGGATTTAGCATTTGATTTTCTCTTATGGGATTTTGAATTTATTGTGTGGAAATTTGATTTGAAGTTGTATTTTTTTGGGTCAATTTTGAATTACAATTTGAAGTTAGAATTTTTCTAGGTTAATGTGAATAGGGACGATGAGCCTAGAACTGCATTAGTTGCTTTACTCAATGGAACATACAATTAGTGGAGAGTAATTCATATTATAAATTTATATATCTAGATAATTGATGTTTCCTTTTTTAGTTGTAGTTTTGGTTTAATTTGTAATTTTTATGGTGCTTAAGAATCCATAGCTTCTGAGGTTTGATTATTTTCTATTTTTAACTTATCCTTAGGTAAGCAATTTTGATGAAATTATGTTTTTGCTCCGCTTTTCGGTATTTTCAAGGAATTGAAGTTGAATATGGAGAAGGTTTTGACACATTTAGATTTGTTGGACTCTCAAGTTTGATGTGGCAATGAATTTAATGAGTTATATGTATATTAGTTAAATTGCGTTTTATGTTCTATCAAATTTAATGTACT